TTACTCTGTATCTAAATAAGTGTTTATATATTTATTTATATTTGTCTTGAAATAAGTATCTACTTTTGAAAGTATATATAACTAAATTCATAAATTTACCTTTAATTGATGTACAAATATTTAAGAGTTGTGAATAGAGAGAAATAAGATAAAGATAAAGATGTCATTTGATTAACAAAAAGTATAATAATTATGTATGTTTAAAATTGTATCATTTCAATTGTGGACATTTATTTTAGGACGAAAAAAGTATTATTTATTTACATATTTTTGATAAAAGATTTGATTTTAAATATTGGTGGGTAGATAGGCTTGCAACAATGGAGGCATCGCACCCTTCAACAAATTCTTTGGCACTTATTTTTGAGAAAATTGAATAACCAAGTAAAGTTATAAATTTGAATGAAAGAATAGACACTGCGATAAAATCAGATTTAGAGGACGTCAATAATGTTTAAAGTGTTGTTTGGTTCGTAAAATTCAAAGGAATTGTAACGATCAATTCCTTTGACCAAATTTCAATTAATTTATTTGGTTCACATATTGAAATAGATGGAATATTTTGAATTTCTTTGAATTCCACAAATTAAAAAATATATCATTCTTTAGTATAAGTGAAGGATTTGAATTTCATCATTGCTCATCCCTTGCTCCAACCACCACCATCTTACTATTGTTACCGTAGCATGCCCATCCCTAACCCCCATCACCACACCACTATTGTTGTCACAACCGTTACTCACCCAACCCCCAACACACCAAGGTGAACAGGGTGAGTGCGGATGGGGTAGCCCATATAGGTAGGGTGGGCGGGATCTGAAGTGGGGAGGGAGGGTGGGTGGTCCAAACAAAGATGGAGATTCCAATTTTTTGAGAGATTCCATTTCACTTTCTGTCAACCAAACTTGTGGTCAAATTCTATTCCAATTCCTTTGGTGTGTTCCAATTCCACCAAATTCCATTTTGTGAACCAAATGCCCCCCCTAAGAATCTTAATAGATTGCTTTATGGTCTTTAGTTTATAGAAACAAACAATAAAACGTTCTATCTAAGAGTGTCACAATAGGTTTATAGGATACTTTTAGGTGTCTTAACAAAAATTTTAGAATATTTTTAATTTAAAGTATCGTATTAGCTATTTTACAAAACACTTTTGAAAAGTTTCCTATAAACACATATTTTTATAAGACATTTTTTTTCAACTAGCATCTGCATCCTATAGAATAGCTAATACGGTGTTTTTTTTTTGTAAAAATGTCCTAAAACACTTGCTACGACTTTAAAAACATCATTTAAACTTATTACAACATCTTTAGATAAAAAGTTTTATTGTTTTGCCAATAAACACTTGCATGTCCAATTCGCACCTATTATAGTTTTACCCTCTAATGCCCATAATAATAATTGAATATCAAATTTCTAACCATTGATTGGTAACACATCATTAATATGTCTATTTATCATAGTGTATCTATCATCAATGATCTTGATCTTTAAATTATGACAAAGTAACTTGTGTTATTCTACTAAACACAGTTTAACTTAATACGTAGGATGAATTTATTGGCACACGTAACAAACAATTCATGGATAGGTATTCGATAATCAGCGAGTACCTGATACCGCACATGGTACAACCTATGCCTCTTCAACAGTCATTTGGAAAAATCGTCCTCTGGTTTTAGGCACCTCAGGTTTCTTGCGGTTTGGTCCTCCGAGCGACTTCGGTTGCACAAGATCCTTTTTGGGACACTCAATGGAGCGATGTCCAACAGCCCCACATGAGTAGCAAGTAAATCTTGTTTTGCACTTGCTTTAACAAGTGGCCAGGTTGCCCACAACTAAAACATACTCCTTTACCATACCTACATTCACCATGATGGAATTTTCCGCAAGTGACACATGCAGTCGAAGTTCTAATCTTCTCTTCCGAAATTCGAACTTTCTTGGACTCGTCAACATTGACAGTTTTTCTCTTCAATATTTTATTAGAGACATCTGGGACATAACTATCATTTTCAGCAAGGGTGGCAAGTTCAATCGCTTCTTGGAAGGTCTTAGGGTTTGACATCCACACAAATCCTCTAATGTCCCTTTTTAGTCCGTCAATAAATCGATCTACCTTTCTCTTCTCGGAAACGACTTGATGTTTAGCAAATCGAGATTTCTCTATAAAAGTCTCTACATATTTCTCTACAGTCATACTTCCTTGCTCTAAACGTAAGAACTGTTGGTGAAGGATTTATGACTACATCCTTTGTTATCGGGTTTATTAACTTCCTTATGGTCGGAATGTACCTCCCCGTTCGACTCCTCATGATCGTGAGACTCATTATTAGTCGACTCCTTAATTTCAGAAGTTTGATTTTCTGAAGGTCAATTATGCTTCAAACGAGCTTCTACCATCTTAAGTGTTGCAGTTTGGATGTGCTCAAGCATTCCAGGTAAAGTGTTGTTGTTGATCCTCTCTCTCAGTGATTTGATGATAATTCCTTTTTCCTTTCGATGTATTTTTGTGTTTCTGTACTTTCGGTTCCAGCGATCAATACACTGAGCTTGTTCAGTGATCGCTGAAGAACTC